CCCAGTAACACGAGATGATATTCAAGTCAAGGAGCGTGATATCAATGTTAGTATTTAGGAAGATTCTATCATAAAGATGCTGTCCAAATTGAGCAAGAGATTTATCCAATTAAAACGCCAATTTGAATCTGGGTTGACTAGAGAAACAAATCCAGAGACACTTATGTGTGTAAGAGAGAGTTTTATATGACAGAGTAATTGTATATTAAGAAAAAAATCCCACCCAGGCCAGATCAAGTCCCTAAGTTCCATATTAGCCCATGTCAGATACCTATCTATAAAGTTCTCTTCAGACTCATGCAACACATGCAATGATGCCGAATGCAAGAAGATCACAGGCCAGTGGTTGGAAAGTCTTGTGGGTCCAGTGGGGATGTAGTAAGCATCTCAGCGCTGGTGTGGGTCTCCACATGGCTCCTCCAGCTCCAGGGCTCTAGTGTAGCTTCATGTGTCTTGGCATCAGGAACACGAAGCAGAGAGTATGTCTGTATCTAGCCTCCAGTGAACTCTGTATTTCCACGGTGCCTCCAAATGAGGTCATCAAGCTGCGACCTGATTGACAGGCTAGACTCCACCCATAGCAAGTTGACACCAGATTGTGTAACTACCACATAATCACAATTGGAATCACACATTCTTTGGCAACTGCAGAAACTGCTTCTAAAGTCATATGTAAGAACAAAGGGCCACAGAGGCGATAAGGAAAAATAAAGGGGTGTGTGTGTTACCTACACCAAAAGTTACTATAAAACTGTTATCATCAAGATAATGTGTTACCCTGATCGATGCTTGAGAAACAGACACCTTGAACCAAAGGAACTCAAACACAGGAGGAAAATTGACTAATAACAAAAAATACCCCTATGAAAGAAAGTAACGGGGTGCACTCAGGCACTTGGAAATGAAAACTGTTGGGTGGATACCTTTTTCATACCCAGCACCAAAATCAAGTTCAGGCGAACCGAAATCTTAAATAAGAAAGGCAAGTTTTAGAATACAACATATAACATCTTCAGATCTTTGAGGTAGAAAATAATTTCTTTAATTATAGACAGTAAAGCAGAAACCAACAAAATTAAAAAGATTGACTTAAATTAATAGGTCATTCTTTAAAAAATATTAATAGAAAGATAAGCTATAAGCTGAGAGAAAACATTTATTAACAAATAAAGCTGCAAGAAAGCCTAATATAGGGTAGCTACCTACTAGCCATGTGAACCATTTTAATTAAACTAAATGGAATGAAAATTGTAATTACTCAGTAACTCTGGACACATTGCAAGTATTAAGTGGCCACATACGGCTAGTGGATCCTTGAGCTGGCAGTGGAGAAACTGAATATATCCATCAACATCCAGTGAAAGATAGTTTGTAAGTGGCACCATGGTTAAAGGCTTTGCTCCTAACCAAAAGACTGGCAGTTCATATTCACCAATGTTCAAAGGGAGAAAAAACATTGAAGGCAGCCTGCATGAGGATTTATAACTTTGGAGACCATATGGGGCAGTTCTATTCTGTCCTAGGGGGTCCCTCTGGCCTGCAGTCCCCATGGGTCTGAAACAACTTGATGGCAATGGCTTTGTTTGGGTCAAGAAACTCTGGGAGAAAGCTTTTTGACAATCAGAACAACTACATAGCAATTCTCCTTCACTTGAATCATCCATTTAAAAATAGAGTTTAGCAGGGACTCCCATTTGGGAAGAAAACAGGAAAAAACAAAAGAAAACCCTGTTAAAATACACAGGAAGTAAAACTCCATGTCCAATTCATTCTAAAGACAAGCTCTCTGGCTTAGGCTGGGCTCTCTACAAAAGCAAAACCAGAGAGGCTTATCTATGTGCGTGTATGTGTAGGGAGGGGCGTTTGTAACAAGGACATCGCTCACACAATTCCGGTTCTGGGAGTCCGATGTCAGGCTGGCGGCTTCTGCTGGCTCACAGAGCTACCAGTTAAAAACTAAACTCACTGCCATTAGGTCAATGATGAATCATAGTGACCCCCTGTGGGGTTCTGAGACTAACTGTTTACAGGAGTAGAAAGCCCAGTCTTTCTCCCGAGGGGCTGTTCGCGGTTTCCAACTACTATGTGGATCATAGTCCAGTGGGAAAGCACTGCACCCCCTAGGTATCCCCACAGGAGCTGCTAAGCCCAAGACCAGTAGTCAAAATGGCACGCTTCTGGATGCATAGGTGAAATGAAGGCAAGGTCAGTAGCTAAGATAACAAATTGCTAAGGACTCCCATGATTGGCAGTCAATATGGAAGGCTACTGGCTCAAGTCCAAAAACCAGCAGTTAGATGACACCCCAGAATGCAGGGTCCAGATCCAGTAAAAGCAAGCAAGGTTTTCCACAGAGCCCACAGAGTTCACCCCCCCCCCCAAAAAAACAAACAAACTTCCCTTCAAGCAATTGGGTGACGGTAGGAGCTCACACCATGGGCATGGTACGTGGCATCCTGGGCAGTGACCGTGCCGTAACAGCCAACCACTGATAGTCCTGGTCCAGCCAATAGGACACACAGAGCCTTAAGCATCACCTCTTCTACTGGGTAGAAAATTGGGGGGTGATTTATTTTATCACTCAGAGCTTCAGTTTCTGCATGTGTGATAAGGATAACTATCTCTCCTTCAAGCACATTTTCAAAAATCAAGGTGATGGATAACATATTAAAAGCAGCTCGTTGGTGTTCAGTAGCTGTTATGATTTTTAAAAAATTCTCCTTGATGGCTTCCAAACTTCTTGGCTCTCTAAGTAAAACCATGATATCACTTCAAGACTACAAACCAGCGTGCATGTTTGAAAAGTGTACAAGGAAGACCTCGTATCTGTTACTTCAAGGAAAACGGAAAACTGATATGCCTGGGTCAGTTTCCTTAAAATCTTATCTAATGGCCTTTGGGCTCCCAGTTTCCTGCAGCATGCTTTCTCCCAACAACTCACTTTTAATTTCATGACCCTGAACTACTTTCCTGTTTGTCAGAATAAATATAAGAGGGTGACTTACATAGTGCTGCTGTAACAGAACTACCGAAAGTGGATGGTTTTAACAGACATTTATTTTCTCACATTTTAGAAAGCGAGAAGTATGAATTCAGAACAAGGGCTCTTTTTTATTTTATTTATTTATTTTTTTAGACCACACCCCCCTCTCCGCCCCCCAAGGGCTCTTTTTTAATCTCGCCCTGGGCCCACTGGGTTCTCAGCACGAGGCATGGGTCACAGCGTGGGTCCAAATGACGTATGCCATCAGTTTTTCTTTCTTGGTGGTACGAGTGTCTTCCCTCTTGTAAGATAAAGGTGATGCAGGCCACAGCCCAGGGAAACTCCCCTTCCATCCCATGAGTATTTTAACCTGACTAAGGGTGTTACAGCCCACCCTGATCACCTTACAACGGATTGGCTGATCACATTGTGGGGAAAGGGTACATCATTTACATAACTGCCAAATCCATCATGACAGTTTGTGACTCATGGCCCAGTCAAGTTAACACGTATGGGTGAAGTTGGTGGGGTTGGGGTGAGCTCACACAAAATCCTATCCATGGCAGACAGGAATTATGAAGAGGGGATTTGATAGGGCAAACTGGAAGGCACTCACTACGATTTCAGTTCATTGGTGTGCTTTGCATTTTTTTCCATCTAGAACCGATAGAAAACAAAAAACAAACACGTGCAGAAGGGCTTCCATCCTTTAAATGTAACCTGCAGAAACAACTAAGAACGGTCTAGCTCTATAAACGGGAAATGCTGACTTTCACGATTAAACCACAGTGATTATGAATAGATAACTATCCTATAAATAACTCCATTCCAGGGCTGCTTGTGTAGGACTTTTGAAGGTCAGATTCCATCAAGCTGTTCCCCATGAATCAAAACAGGCAGCATCCCAAAGAGCCAAATGATGGTGTACTTCACCATCATTGTCCTGTCATTCCGTGGAAGCACTTGGTTACAGCATCTGGTTTTTCACACGCACGTGCGTGTGCATGTGTGTGTGTGTTTAAACTTAGGTTTCAAACTGAGCTTCAGATTACCCACTGAGGGTCACACACTGTAATGCAGTTGGTGGATTAGCTGAAATTAAAACCCAGAGCCCTCTTTACTACCCTTCTTTTCAAGCAGATCAATTATTTATGGCCAAGGTCCCTGACACCATGCTTTCATTCAGGAGGCAGCTGTAAATAAAGCAAACAGAATCTGGCTTCACCCCTTCTGGGTCCCGCCGAGAGGCCGGGAGGAGAGTGACAAAGAGAGGATGCGTGAAGCAGCGAGGAAGAGTGAGGAACACAGGGCCTCTGCCTCCTCTGAGCTACCGCTGCCCCTCCCTTCCCCATCGTCCAGTTCGTTTTCTGATCACTTAATTTTGCACAGCTTCATTTAATTCTCACAGCCCTGGGAGGCAGGTATCATGCCCCTCTGAAGCTCCAAAGCCTAAATTGTTTGGGTCACAGGGTCATTAGGAAAACCAAAATTTAACCTGAGGTCGGTCTGGCTCCAAAGCCTGAAAGCTTTCAAAACAATACCCCAACCCCCAAACTTCACTGCCATTGAGTCCACGTCAATTCCTGCTGACCCAGTAGAACAGGGTGGAACTCCCCCCAGCGAGTTCCTGAGACTGGAACTCTTAAGGGGAGTGGAAATTCTGTCTTTCTCCTGAGAAGCAGTTGGTAGTTTCGAACCGCTGACCTTGCAGGTCACAGCCCAATGTGTAACCGCTATGCCACCCGAAAGAAGGACTTAAATAAGTCATGCGTCCAAAAGCCTAACAGGTACAATAAGCAACCATCCACATAACCATGGTCTCGACCGCTTCTGGGAACCGCAGTGTGAAGGGTTGTCACCACCACTTTGCCCGCCCTAGCGTCGCTGCATTTATAAGATGCCAGGTCCAGAGACAAGTGAGAAATCACAAGTGGAGACCACTAGAAAGCGGTGGCAGGAGGCCGCCTCCTGAAGCAAAACTCCGACAGAGAAGGTTAAGGAGGCCGCAGCTTCTTACCTGCTGCACTTCACTCTCTCCGTTTGAGATTTTCTCCGTGTACACAAAGGAGTTGAATATCCGCTGCAACAACAACAAAAAAGAAAAAGAGAGAAAGTGAACCCACATGAAAGACTTCCCAAATGCGTGAAGAACTTGTTTACCACCGAAAAAACAGACAAGAGGAGAAAAAAATTTAATTAAACTACAGTTAATTTTGCACAGAGAAATCCAAGTATCAGCCAGAGTCAATCACGCTTATGTAAGCAATACCCAGGCCCTTCTGTAGTGAAATAAACCAGATGTTACACTGTATTTTTCATTTAAAAAATTCATTTAATTATAGATTTCCGGAGCCCATGCCATTTTATCCGACTGGTATAATCGGACAAAGTTGTGTTTCTCATTTAAATCCTGCACTCCCTGAATGCTGTAATTGTTTACAGACGCTAACATCTAATGCAATAAAGCTCTTTTTTTAAAAGGATTCTTTCCATAGTCTCTCATGTCCCTATCCAGTCAGTACCTACCCAACATTATCTCTCCCTTTTGTTACCCAAGCACCCCCTCAGGGAAGTAACGTAATAGGACTTGCCAACAATGTGTGGCCTTAAGAGAAGACTCAGTTCTTACATGCCAGGAAACATGACGCCAGTGCCCAGACATCAGCCTAGGCTCCGGCACACGAGTACACACATTGTTCAACTGGTCCCTGCAGTGCCCGCTCCCCATACGTGGTCTGTCTCTGAAGACTGGCAGCTTCATGAACCCTTAGAATGGCAGAGCTATCACCACAAACAAAAGAGAAACCCTATGTTGTGTGTGTGTGTGTGTGTGTGTGTGTGTGTGTGTGTGTACACCATGGGAACTCTCCAGGTGAGCAGTCAGACCTAGCGATGTCAGCGGATATTTCCTTTTTCCTTTCGATCGTGCTGCCAAAGGTTTGTCAGCATCTGGGACAGGTTCCCAGGCAGCACCACACCTGCACGGTTCTAGTGAGGAAGCCACGTACCAAGTTCATCAAGAGCTGTGGAATCCAAGGGCAGAAGAGCAGGGTGGCGGGGCAAATTTGGGAAGAGTTGGGGTGGAATTAAAGTTGGGAAAAGTTGAGTTACAAATTATCATGCTGCCTCCCATCATTCTCCGGGAGGCCACTCGGTCATTCAACAGCTGTTTATTGTCCCTTTCTTTGCTAGACATGACTTTGCTGATAGGAAAAGAAAAGGGGGGAAATGATTTTATGACAAATTTCTAATAAGGAAGATAATGACAGTGATGTTGACTAATATTTACTGAATGCTATGCCTGTTCAGTCTTCTAAGTAAAGTCTCATACAACCCTTTGGTGGTACGTAGCATTATCATCACTCTTCTGTATGCAGCCAAAGAAGCGTCATTCCGTGAGGCCACTGAAGGCCACGGTAAAGTGCACGTTGTATCGCCCATGCATATGGTACGTAATATTCATACAAACTGACTGCAGCTTTGGAGGAAAGCCTGAGCCTCAGGGGGATTAAGTAACTTGCCCACAGCCCCTGGGCAAGCCTGAGACTGGACCCCGGGTACTGTAACGCTTAACTCTTTGCTTTCTTTGGGATTGGCAACCTAGGTACCTGATGCACATTTAATTTATTTAAAAAAACAAAACAACAAACAAAAACCCGTGTCAGGATCTAATATCTGAATATAGTGCATATTAAAACGCTTGTTTGTTAATGTCAACATTTTAAAAGCTCTGAAAATCAGAACTGTGTGTCAGGTGTCACTAAAATATGATTTAGCCTTAACATCTTTGAGGACAATTTATAACTTAAACTGACATGTATGTGTAGCCTTTATTAATCCCAAGTAGTGTGGGTATTCATGCATCTTGCTGCAGATGCATGAATACATTTGCTTGTAAGGATCTGCTCTCGATCTCACTGGGGCTATTTTGTAATCAAAAGGCATCAGGATTCTGAATGCTCAAGTGCACTGCACTTCAGAGGGGACAAGTTTAGAAATCTGTAGACCTCCATTCTTACAATTCCCAATGCCTGGTGCTCTGGTGAAAACTGTAGTGGACACGAGTGGGTTGCTCTCAGGAGCTTTGTCCTACTGCAGTGGGAATCCAGCCAATGGCTCCACAAAGAAAGGCCTGGGGATCTCCCTTCTATTTAACACTGCAGTCAAGAAACCCCAGGCAGAGGTTCTGGTCCGGAACACACAACTGGATAACCCACGGCTGTGGAGTCCATTCTAACTCCTAGAGAACCTGTCTGGGGTCTCGAAGGCTGTAAATCTCCCGGGGAGCACACAGCTTCACCTTTCTCCCTTGGAATAACGGGTGGGTTTGAACCACTGAGCGGTTAGCAGGCTACATGCCTGAGTGACAGTGTTATGGCTGGATAGCAGGCAGCCAACAATAACAAGCGGCTGGGCCCATGTCTGACACATCACTACAGCCGCCCGACCAGCCTATATTCTAAGTATCATAGAACAACAGTGTACAACCCAAAGTACGCCTTTACTAAAAATGAACACCATTCATATCGTCTCTCCAAATCCTGACGTATGTGCTGATTTCAAGTCACGGGATTTACAAGGCTGTGAGATCTCACTGGATGCAGTGCCTGTCCTCTTCTGGAAGGTGACCCCCCCTAAGAGGTGACTGAACAATGACAGGGGAACACACCAGAGCCACCCTGCTCAAGCCAGCATCCATCAGAGGCCCAACCTCAAGAAAAACGTTTGCACTAAAGAGTGGCTGTTCAGTTAGAACAAAGAATTTGTGCAAGGTTTTGTTCTTCTCCCAATCACAACTATTAAAGGCGGTGCTGTTTGGTCAATTCTGACTCATAGCGAGGCCATGTGGCAGAGCTGACCTGCTTATGGAGATCACCACCTCTTTCTACATGGAGTCTCTAGGTGGGTTCGAACCACCCAACTTTCAATGACAAGTTGTGGTAGTTACATTGTTTTTTTGTTGACTTGGAAGATATAAAAATGTAGGGGCGTGGTCAAGCCTGTGAATCAGATACCTCCTGGTGGGCGTGGCCTGCTCAGAAGGAGGACCTTGGGAACTTCCCCTCTCTCTCTGCCAGGACTACCACCATTGGATCCACAAGACTTTGCACCCACCAGCCAGTGATGTTCTTGTATTCTGCAACATTGTGTGTGGCTCCGTAAGTCTGAAGAGGGATTTATGGACCAGTATCAGACTCATGGACTTGATCTGGACTGGGATGAGGTGTTTTATTGACACACAATTACTCCTTTAACATACATTTACACATATGTGAGTGTCACTGAACTTGTTTCTCTAGTCTGTGTGGCTGAACACGTCAGCCAAGGACTTAACCATTCCACCTCCAGGGCTCCCAACAATGATTAACAATTGCTAATATTTTTATGTAGGTCTTTTTATGGGTTATTAAGCATTTTTCTATTTGATAAACCTAACAGATGTGGGTGAGTAACAATTCCAACTCCGAAGAAGGCCACAGGGCAGAAGACAACTGTCTCACAGGGCTTCCAAGGCTGTTACAGCTTCTTACCATGAAGTGGCGGGTGGGTTCAAAGTGCTGACACTTTGGTTAGCAGCTGGTAGCCAAGCACCAGCCACCAGGAATCTTTAACAACAACAAAAATAAACAAAAACACAGCAAAGAAAATGAAAAGGCTTAGATGTGAACAACGGTGATGCTGAAAGTTTACCTACTGCAAGCCTCCTCGAGGTGCCATTAATGAAAGGTGACCAGTTCGACCTCTGTGCCAGCTACTACCCATACAAACAATCCCCTGTCTCACCCTTCCTCTCCAGAATAAACAAAAATAAAATCACTTTAGTCAACCCGGCCAGTAAAACCTAAACCAGGAACTCAAGACATGCCCACTCACCCCTGTCTGGTGTAAGGTTAAAAGTTCAGGCTCAGAGGGGTGCACACAGGATCTCCGGGTAGAGAGTGAGTTTCCACTATGACCAGAGCCTGGTCAGGCCCAGCCCTCTCCAAGGGACCATTATAGTTTACAATTTCAGATCAATCAATCATCACCTTTGATCCCCACAACAACCCTAGTGTGGCAGGAGGACAGGGATCTGGAAGCACATGTTACAGATTAAGGATACTCATGTTCGAAAGTTAGACAATTTTGGATAGGTGCGCGCACGCGCGCGCACACACACACACACCCATCCAAAGGATTGAACCTAGTCCTTGGACTAAAAAGAGGTATCGCTTAAAAAAGCAAAGCCACTAAATGTATTTACATCACTGTTTTGTTCAATACAAACCAAATCCATTGCCACGGAGTCCATTCAGACTGACAGTGGCCCTCTAGGTGTGACGCTGCTCTGTAGGGTTTCCCAGGCTGTAATGTAATCTTTACTGATGCAGACTGCCTCAATGGTCTCTCTTAAGAGTAACTGGTGGGTTTGAACTGCCAACTTCTTTGGTTTGCAACTGGGTGCGCACTAGGGAAATTCATACCTGAATACAGAAGGAGTTAAAAACAGAATTTGGATTTTGGGGTTTTTTTTTCCCTATCCATTTTACTTTAAGCAAGGTGTAACCTTACCGATGTGACCAATGTCAAGGGTGATGAAGATCTGCAGAGGAAGGCTTTCTTCTCTACGACATTCTGTGTGACATGAGGTACACACTGAGCTGCCAACCGCAAGGTCGGCAGTTTGAACCCACTCGGCCAACCTGCAAGAGAACGACAAATCTGTCTCTTCTCTTAGAGAACGACAGTCTTGGAAACCCTCAAGGGTAGTTTCTACCCTGTCCTATCGGGTCACTGTGAGTTGGAATTAATGGCGGTGAGTGACCCTGTAAAACTGGGAAAAGCAAAGCAGCATTGTTTGTTTGTTTGGTTGGCTGGTTGGTTTGCTGGCTGACTGGCTGGGGGCTGGGTTGTTTCTAAGTGGACAGCCAGGAAATTGGAATGCTATACCTCGCTGGCACTGTTTTACAGGATGTTCGAGCTGTAAGAATGGATGAGTGATCATCTCAGGTCACCTGGATGAGTTACTCACAGGATCAGGCTTAGGGATGGTGGGTGAGTTGGCAGTGAGTACTCATTTTACTCTATAAGCTGTCACTT